TCTCCCAGGTAACAAGTGATATGAGAAGAGGAATCAGCCGCAGGTTGTGCCAGGGGAGGTTTAGGTTGGATATTAGGAAAAGTCTCTTCCCCAGAAGGGCTGTCAAGCCCCGGAACAGGCTGCCCAGGGTCGTGGGGGAGTCGCCAGCCCTGGGGGTGTTCAGAAGCCGTGCAGGTGTGGTGCCTGGGGACGTGGGTTAGTGGTGGCCTTGGCAGTGCTGGGCTAATGGTTGGACTCGGTGATCTTAAAGGTGATTTCCAACCCAAACGATTCTGTGATTCTTCTCCCATGGAGCCTGAAGCCGCTGGATATTTCAGTTTCCATCACTAGATGGTGCAGGAGACAGGCGCAGCGCCCGTGGGACTGGGCTGGAGCTCAGCCCTCCAAGCACCTCATCTGCTCCTCAGTACCCCCATGCACCCCCTCCACACCCTGTATAGCCCCAGGCACCCCCCTGTACCACTCTCTACCCTCTGCACTCCTCTGCCCATCCGGATGTTGGGAAGGGCCCTGGGACACGCTGCCTGGGGAGCTGGGACTCTCCATCCTGATCACTGATCATTACGGATCCATCCCGAGGACTGACTGGGTGCTCCCAGGAGGGACACGAGGGGGTGGGGGGCCCTGGGCACAGCAGCAGGGACGGGGTGGCCTCCTGAGGTCCCCTCCAGCTGCCTTTTCCAAGGACAGTGCTCAGTGTCCCTCGGGTGATCGCGGCCGCTCGAGTCTCCTCTAAGTCCATCGGCCGCCCGCTGCTGGCCCCCTGGCACCCCTCAGGTTTGGGAGTGAAGAGCTGACATGTTTCTTCTTCTCCAAAAAAAAAGCGGTTGTTTTCCTTAATAAAGCGAAAAGCCTCAAGAGTGCTTGAGCAGTGTCTTCGCTCAGCAAGAGAGTGACCCCGTGCACATTAACTGCCCAAAGCAGCAGCCGCTGGCCCCTGCCCAGGCCCTCTCCACCAGCTCTCCTCGCACGAAGAAACTGCTTTAGGACTACATAAAAATTCAAAATATTTAAATATCCTGGTGCGAGAAGCTGCTCCCAGGCTGGGGCAGCTCGGTGGGTGTTTCCTGACAGCCTGCGCCTTCCTGGGGAGAAACAAAGAGGCAAAATAACTTGTAGATAAGTTCCCTTACAGTCAGGAGCAGTTTTGTGTGGTTTAGTATATGTGTGGGGAAGAATTTTTTCCCTGAAGTAATTAAAATAGCCTCTTCCAGACATGAGAAAGGGAGGAGAGGGAACTTTTCCAAAGAGCCTCTTTCCCTCTACCTCCCTTCCTATGGCACAAGGACTTTTATCCCGATACAGATGGACCAGCTGAGCTTTTTTTAAGGTCCCTGGGGCAGCCATCCAGTAACAAAAGCAAAGTTAAACAACTCCAAACAAAAGCAGCAGAAGAAAGGGGGTGTGGTGATGGAAATAACGCCCGGCTAAGTAGGAAACTTTAATGATGATACATGGAAAAATTTAAACAATCAGAACTTGAATCATTTGGCCCTGGTCCCACCTCATTTAATTAATAAACGGTGCCCTTCACCGTGTTTGATCTTACATGTCCTTTTTTTTTTTTTTTCCAAAGCAGAGAGGAGCCCAGAGGAGGGTCCCGGGGTTGGGCAGGTCAGACGGTGGCTGCTGCATGGGCCAGGGCTGACACAGGGATGGGGAGGGACCCCAGGGCCGCCCAGGCCCCCTGTGTCCCCCTCTTCAGTCTCACACCTGGGGATCTCCCCACAGAGCTCAGCCGTGGGGCTGAGCGTCACAGCACCAGTGCCCAGGGCAGAGGGGCCGGGGGGCGCGGGGGCTGTAACATATAAACGGATCTGACAGACCTTCAGGGGTGAACAGAAAAAATATCGCTGACTGGAGAGTCATAGGCATGGTAATTATTTGAGTATGTGCTGTACTTAGGGAGTCACACAGCCCCAAACTGTATGGAAACCTTCCATGCCACATGTGGATCCTCAGAGGCTTTGTCTTTCTAAATATATTAAGCACATACAAGCAACAATTTCAAGATATGAAGGCTGTCCAAATAAAACCCTTCAGATTAAATATCTGGTGGAGGCACTTAACTCCGGTTACTCCTGACTTTCCCACATACCAGTGAATCCAATACCAGTCAAGTATTAAACCCAGACCTATGGAGATCTAGCTCCATAAACAAACATCCCTCTGTGCTACAGCTGTGAAACCCCAGCGAGCCTGCCCTCGCCCCCCCGCCCCGGGGGTCAGTAATGACAGGGGTGGCACAGGGCTTTTGGGACCAGTTTTACCCACCGGGTCAGCGTCACAGCTCCGGGCTCCCTGTGCTGGTTTATGGAGGCTGAGCCTGAGCAGCGGGGCAGCTGCCATGGTGCAAGGGGACGTTCAGGAGCGCGGTTTGCTTACGGCTGTACCGTGGGTCCCGTCTCCCTTAGGGACGTGGGTGTTTTCCAGCTTGGGTGCTGCCTGGGTCACTCCAACATCCCCAACCCCGCAGAGCTGCGGCTCCTGGTCCGGTGAGAGCCTGGGCCCTCCAGTGGGAGAAGGTACCCTTGGGGCAGCACCGTGGCTGGTTAAACACTGCTAATTAACTTAATTCATTGGCCTTATGCAGGGGTAAAGGTGATCAAGCTCTGGACCATTGCAAGATGAGCTGGGTCACACCAGCAGAGAGAACCCGCGGGCAGAGACACGATGGCCCTTCCCCTCCCTGCGCTCAGGGAGGTCTCATGAGTTTAAAAACACACAGGTCAAACCTCAAACAAGGCTCTCGCTGCACAACGCCGTGAGAAGTGCAGGGCTCCGTCTTCGAGATGCTTTTTAAGGTTTATCCAGTGTCCTTATCTGGATGCCGAGGGACCCCCGAAACGTAGGGGTACCGCCACGGGAGAGCCCCGGCTGGGCACCGGGCCAAGGCCAAGCTAAGTAACACGAGACATAAAACTGACAATACAATTTTATTTTATATTTCATAAACGGCGCCCTCCCCACGTTTTACAGAGTTAACAGCGTTACCTGGTGGCACGGAGGCTCGCTGCCACAGCTCCCACAGACCCCGTCGTGTGAACGAGGTGGCCTGAACCCCGGAACCAACGAGCCCTGGGATGGGGTTGTGTGAGGCAGCTCCAGCTTCAAGCTCTGCAGGGAGGGGTGGGGGGGGATCAAATGAGTTGATTACTCCTAAAAAAGGGTATCACGAGACAACCGCATGGAAAAACTGATTTGTGGGAATTTCGTTTCGAATTAAAAAAGCCCCGTGCCCAGCACTCCCAGCGCTGTACTGGTGCAGCAGCTGGGTGAGACCACCAAGGATGCCCCACCAGCAGCCTGCTCAGGTGGTCAAAACAAGGGCAATGAAATAATTCATGAATTTCTAAGGTGTCCCCTGTGCCAGGGCTGCCAGATGCCTGGCACTGCTGCAGGACACAACTGTCGACATGGGGGGGGGGGGACACAAGAC